TATATATATATGTGTGTGTGTGTGTGTGTGTGTGTGTGTGTGTGTGAGAGAGAGAGAGAGAGAGAGAGAGAGAGAGAGAGAGAGATCAATAGAAAACCGCTCTTTGAACATCCTATGTATTTTGAAAACCCTATCTTGACTGCCATACAGAAGAGGCAACTTGATGGTACAAAACAACAAAAGCAACAATCAGATTTGACAACACCAGCCAGCAGTCTGCAAAACAGGCACAACAAGGGAACCACTTCCATGGAAGTTCCATTTTCTCAAGGAGACTGACTAGTTTAATAAACATTGCTTCTTGATGTTTTTAAAAACTGAAAAGGATGTAACTGAGACGAAGTTCAAAAGAGCAGGCTAAGTCTAATGTGAGTCACAAGTAGAGAAGATAAATCAATATCTGTAAAAGTTACATTACTTGTATCAATGTATGTTACATTACTTGATAACAAGTCCCATTCATGTCACTGAGTTTACTGTAGCTGGGATGAACACTGTATTTTGCCAACTGAAACTCAGCCCATTCTGACCATGTGGAAAACCCTACTTCCATATTTTTTTTCTCAAGGGAACACCAGTGGTTCCCAGACTTCCCAGAAACATTAACCAGCATTACCAATAGTCATGACTTCTAGGAGTTGTGGTCCAAGAACATCCAAGGTCCCATGTTTGGAAACCTCTAGTGTATACTCTAAAAATTCAAAGGAAGGCTACAACCCTATACCTGTAAATACACTATAAACCAGGAGCATTCTACAGGGAATTGTAAGTGTTCACAGAGTATTGTTGAGTGTAGACTCCTTGGCAAACCTGCCACTGCACAACATATGAAATGGCCTAATCCATTTAGAGAGACTGCAGCATACATTAACAATGATTCTTGGGAAAACACTTCACCAAAATAGGCCAGGAATTATTTTGCCATTTGTTGGCACCAAAAAAACCTAGTTCTTCTTAATATTTTCCAGAAGATCTGTTTCTTTCAGCTGCACAGAATGGGAGCCCATGATGTCTTTAAAATAATGTTTAATGGCAAGGCTCCCTTGAAGTTGGGTGTGTGCGTGCATGCATTCCTGCTTCCCTGCATGCAGTTCTCTTCCTCCTCCATGCAGCAATCACATTAGGTTGCAGCTGTGACAGAACCCTGTGTGGCGGAATGGAGTCATGTGCGCATGCAGGGGGGGGAAGTCATACGCAAGAGAGGTGGAGCAAAATTAGAGGTTATGTTGCTTAACAGAATGATTTTCTAGTCAACAGCTCAAAATATTAAAATACTTGAGCATGAAAATTGTTTTTAAAAGCCACGTACCTTGGCATAGAAATTTTTTAGAAGGAGTGGTGAGAAGCAGCTTGTCAGCCATTTCTCCGGGGCCCACACATCGAGCTATACCTGGCTCTTTGTATTCTGACTTCACCCAGTCAGACAGCCACTGCATGTTACAGTCACAATGAAGTGGATTTGCTCCAATGGCACTGCAGACCAAAAAAAACAAGGAACATCTATTTTATATGTTTTCATTTTCCTATAATCTCTGAGAAATTAAATTAATGGAAGACATAGCAGAAAATATCCCAAAGCTACACCTGCTACTCCTACACTTAGAACGGTGCAGCAGAAGGAAGATTGACACTCTGGTCCCAACAGGTTCCATGGGAACCAGCAGAGAAGCACTTGCCTGAATAATTTGTTATGGGTATCTTATTTAGGAAGGAAATGTATAACTTCCAAAGCGTGTCCTCCTCATAACATGATGGTAAGGGTCAATGGCGGGACAGAATCGGCAAACGTGTTATCTCTTCTTGTCCTCTCCAAGGTTCTCTATAAATTCATTTTTAAAATGATCCTCCCCCCCCCCAAAAAAAAATACTCCAGGAAAACAAATTATCTTGGGGAGGCATATATAGCAAAGTAGGGCTGACCTTAAATTAAATAATGTTCTAAGCAAGTAATAACATATCTGCCCTCTACCCCACTAGTGTATAGTTTTCTTCCTTAAAATGACTTTGTTTAGTGTCATAAGCATGCTTGTACATAAGAGATGTGCTGAGAAAGGACCTTATGTGATAAAGAATGAAGAGGGAAAGGAAACCAAAATCCTGCATTCTCTTACAGAAGAGGAAATCAAGGACCTGAAACTTTTCTGTGGAAATAAATAGTTAGATGACAGACCACCCTTTAATTAGACATATTTATTATCTTTCCTGCTTGGCCCATGAATGGAAAATGAGACAAAACCCTCTTACCTACATGTTCTCTGATGGTGAAGGAGGAATAAAATACAACTAGGTGAAAGATTAAAAAAGAATTGCACAACATACTTCTCATTAAGGAAACAAAATCTTGAGAGACGTCTCAATTCTACCATTATTTCTATGCATGCCCAAATACAATCTGCCCAACATGGCTTGCTCAGTTATATTATATCGGAGATATTTGGACTTAGTACTCACAGATGGGATAAAGATGAAAGATCATTAAAAGCACCTTCAGGAACAACAGAAATATCATTGCCATGTAAAGACCTACGTAAAGAAGAAACATTTATGTATTGGAAGGAGATGTGGAAATATTTCAACATTCAATGGTATCAAATTCCATTGATTTCCAAGCTTACTAATGGTGAATTAAATAACCTAATTCTCTCTACCAGCATTCAACTCTCTGGAATCCCTTGGAAATTAGGAGGAAGGCTAAGTGTAAGGCAAATTCTCCATACAATATCTTACAACCTCTAGCTCTAGTAGTACTGACAGAAGAATTTCTATTGCTACATTTTGCCATTCATGTTATAGAATGGCAAAGGAAGAAGCTGTGGCAGAGGACATAGCTAATCCTCTAAGAGACATACATACACAAATAACAGAGCCTGACTACTTACAGCAACCGAAGCGATTTCAAGCCATCAAATGTTCGTGCTGGAATACATCTGAGACGATTGTAACTGAGAATTCTGAAAATATAACAAGAGTAAACACACACACACACCCCTATGTATACACACATTAATATGTGATAAGCTTTTTCTTTTGCTACAAAGATCAACTTACAAGGTAAGCAGCTGAGTCATGTTGGTGAAGCTCTGGTTAGAAAGAGTGCTGATTCTGTTGTTACTTAAATCTCTACAAAAAAAGAAATACATATGTTTTAAGGTTATAGCACATATGTTGGAACACTGAAAACTACTATTGAATGTAGTATTATTAACAACTTATTCAAGCTATCATCATCTTCTATTGTTTTATGTAATATACATACTTAACATCTAACTTTTACAGGAGAAAACCAACAACACACATGCACAAAACAAAACAAATATGACAAAAAGGAAAAGTCCAAGCACTGAGTTCAATAGTAGCCCCAACCAGAAAAGACCTATGGAAATTAATGGGACTTGTTAAAAGTAATGTAAATTCCACTGATCTCAGTGTGTTTACTCTAGTTGGGACTGACATCAGATTTAGTCCCAAGAATGCCTGGGATTAGTGAATTAATTCCTAAAATCACCACCACACTACCAATACTTGGCTCTGTGAAATAAATTTATCAACTACATATGCATCATTCTCTATGTTACTCACCCACCTCTTTGAGACCTGTGTTCATTTTAATGCAAAAATCTGTGTTTGGCAAATTTACTTTCTAAACAACAAATGAGGATAAGACATGTGTAACATTAGAACTGATGTGTTGTTAAACTTGCCTATGCATATTTCTGAAAAAGACACCTTTAAAAAACATTAACTTATTCTGATTTTGTTTATACGAGATGCAATCTAGCACTTGTTTCCAGTGTGATACCTCCTGAAGCTTAACTTAGAAACTGCTTGAAATTATTTCCTTTTAAAAAAAGTTGCTGTTTTTCACTGTTCTCTCACTATAGCATTGTCTACTGCTGTGTAACCCTGATCAAAATAAACCATGCCAATTTTTCCTAACTGAATTTGCTTAAATGCTTTTATGGACTCCATCTATGTGACAAGCAACTATAGCCAGCATACTCCATCATTTGTTTTATAAAAGTCTGCATCTTTGTGAATGGATAATTTCTCTTTCCATACACAATAGTGATGTGCTGTGGTTAGAGAACTAAATGTAAATCATTTCTAAAATGTGCATTAAAGTTTAATTACTAGAACATTCAGTACACATCATGTTTTTCTTGAAACTATTTCATTTAATAGAGAACACGATTTTAAATAATAGCATAGAGAGATGTTCTGAAAACCACTCACATAAGAGTTAAATGCTTGTAGTTTGAAAGTTCTTTGGGAACAAGGGTAAACTGGTTTCCATCCAGGTAACTAAAAAAAGAAATAATGCAATATCATTTAAATGAAATTATTAATTCCTTCTATGACATCCACATTCAGAACTAAAGCAATAAAAAAGTCCATAAGTCTATTGACAATATATCAATCTATCTATTGGCAATGTGACGTTCACTTCTGTGAAGCACCTACTTTTTGTGCCCTCACAAAGGTTCCAGTCCTTGTTTCCCTCACTGCCACCAGTGGATTACCTCTATCCACAATATAAAAGATGTTTGTCCAAACACTTGTCTGGTAAATGCAAACAGAACTTATTTATTGAAGTGTAGCAAAGTTAATAATATTCACAGATGTTCTTCAGATGTACATTGTACACATGCAAATCATTCACAGGTTTCTCTATACATACTTTCTTCTTTCCATATAATTAATTACCACCTTCTCTATTTATCTTAGTCATCTTAGCTCTATTAATATCTGTTCCTTCTCTCTCTGACTCTAACTCACTGACTCTCTCCTGACTGACTCTTGACTCTGACTAACTTACTCCTCTCAGGCTCCGCCTTTTAACCTCTCTCAGCTCCGCCTCTCAGCAACATTAGCATACAACATGAATAATACATGACTTATTTTGCATAACAAGGGGTGAATGCTACAGAAAATATCTATTGTCATTATAGCTATAGTTTCATATAGTTTTCCTGTAGGATAATTTGGCAGCTAGGGAACAGATGTGATCAACCACTGGTTTAATAGCCAGATAGGCATTTGCACACTTGTTCAACAGAAATAATTTTACCATGTTGGTTGAAGATTTTCTACTTCCAACTTCCAAGTTCAAGTTTATTGTATTAGCTAAAAGCCATCACAATTGTTTAAAATACAAATCTGATCAAATAAAATCATGATAAAATCATGGACAAATAAAATAATAAAAGACCATATCTGGGAGTCCCCTGCACAATTGATCGTGATGGCTTTCAGGAAATTAGCTCGAATATTTCTGGCTGCTTTTGCAAACAGAGCTGTTCTGTATGTAACATAAGGGTCACAGTCCAAAAGTAACCTGACCCCCTTTATCTGAGGGCTTTCCTCCTGTAGAGTAGCCAAAATGTTACCCATGAACTTTTCTCTGGGGCTTTGATAGAGTTGACAGTATAGTAAATAGTGGACAACATCCTCTATCTCACCTGCTCCGTAAATACATAGCCTTAGATGTTTAGGGACATTCATATACCTGCCGTCTAAGACAGCGGTTGGCATGGTTTGGAAGCGGAGTTCTGTGAATGCGGTTCTCAAAGAGGGAAAAGTAAATCCATGTAAGTAATGCACCATTGAGTGGTTTGTTTTCAGCAGACAGTACCAGTGAGAGAAATTTGAAGAGTGAATTAAGGCTAAGTCCTGGTCATTATCAGTCGGAGAGTGGAAGCGAGCAGCGTCTGTGTTCTCCCCAGAAAAAGCAAAAATATCTGTGGAGAGGGATTTAGATTTTAGCAGGGTTTGCTCATCAGGCCCACAGTCCTCAAAGGACATTAGCTGCATATCAGCATTTCTTTCTAAAGTGTAGATATTCATTGGCTGAAATCCTTTTGCTTAGTATAAGTTGCACCAGAGCAGGCCCATTGAATGAGTAGGGATGTGGTGACGTAATGGCTCCGTAAGTTCCATTTGGAGTTGACTCACTAAATCTCCACTGATTCAACGTGCCTAGTCTAGTGCAACTTACTATGTAAACAGTAGGCAATTATTTCTTGGTGTGGGGAAAAAGATTGGATATCTTTATGTTTTATGATATATACTCTTGAAGTTTCCTTGATTCAGAAATGTCACTGGATTTCCAAACTGCCTCAAAAGTCAAGAGTACTGATAATTAGTGATGAACTCCCTGCCACTTATAGTCACTCCTCTATCAGGATAACATTGTGTCACCAGTCAAGACTCTGGTATGAATTCTTAGCAGTGGATGAGCTTGTCTTAAAGACAGTTTGGAGACCATAGACAAGAACAAGATGGGAGCATATCACACCCATTTTTAAGTCTCTATACTAGGGATGCAACAAGTATTTAAAAAATGTACTGTTCTCTGCAGTTTACCAAGCCTTTTCATGGTGAGGCATCCAACAGAACTTGCCACTCCATAAGTGAAGTTTCTCTTATGACAATTTTTAGAGGGTAGGGGTTGATTTTATTGGCATCTTCTGGGCACATCTGTTACTTTGTAAATCCTCAAAAATATCCAAAATACATATTGTCAGAATTTTAGTTATCTCTGTTGAAGTCTTGGCCAGGTAAACCAAAAGTTGAAGTACTTTTTGTCAAAATTTTAAGATACATCAAAATATTCAGAGACAATTTATTTCACAAATCCACCAATACTAAGTAATATATTCATTAATTTACTTATTGCATTTGGAAAGCTTAATGGTAAGTTCTTTAGAAGTCAGCAAGGCCCCTGAAGTAGCTTAAACAAAACTCATTTTGAAATGGAAGATCCATTTTGAAATGGTTGGATAAAAAGATCTGCATTTATAGCCTTGACAATCAAACAAAGGTGAACTTCCCTGGGCAAGGAGTTCCAAAGCTGGGATATCACAATTGAAAAGCCTATACCACTAGTCATTGCTCATCCAGCCTCTGATAGGATGAGAATTGGAGAAGAGATTTGGAAGACACAGCTTGACATGTCCTTTTGGTATTTTGGCAGCAAGCTGATTGAGGCTTTAAAAAGTATATGTTCGGTATGGTGAAACTCAAGAGAGTCACCAAGAATGAGATATTTTCAAGTACTCATCCTATTTTTAGTGTCCCATACTAAAGAACCTATTTTAGCCTTGAAAGACAAGGCTTGATCTAAAGTGCTTTGTCTACAAATCTGATTCTACAAAGGGAGAAAGAGAAGAGACTGTATGCCTCCTTCCAGGTCTGCCACTCAGCAGCCTCTTTTCTTGGCTGAGCTTCAGTTTGGTGACTTTTATGTCGCAATTTTTAAAGAAATATTTTTTTAAAAATCTTTAAATGCTTTATCAGATATTTTTAAAAATGTAAAATACAAATCAGTCAGGTTTCATAGCAACAAGTGATATAAAGCTGTCTATAGTTTTGAAGAACAATTAAGGGGCAAATTACACATATTTGACAAAAGTTATGAAGAAAAATATATTTAGAAAACAGCATGCTTTGCTAATGTTAATGGAACAGGAGAATCATTCTGAAGAAGTTTCTGAATATATGCTGTTTGCCTAAACAAACTTCTGATTCAGTTAATCCCTTGGAGTTTTAAATTTTAATAGTTACTTTTCTGCATTATTCATATTTTCCTTAGTTTAAGGTATCCAGAAATAATTGCAGAAGAAGCAAAAAATATGAAAAATGTACAGAAGAAGTACCAAAGTGTGAAACAAGCTACTTGAAGTCCCCGCAATTACCAGAATATGTTCTAGAAAATATAGCTTGTCCAATAATTTTACTTACCAAGACCATTTCCCTCATTCTTGAAACAAACTTTATTGCTAGCACATTTGTACATGGGAAATATTTATTTATTTATTTATTTATTTATTTATTTATTGTATTTATACCCCGCCTATCTAGTCATTTCGACCACTCGAAATATCCTTATGCTTACAACATAAAGGATAACAAGTTCAAGAAAAATTTATAACAATTAATTAATTAAATAAATAATATTGTACCACTTACAGTTCAGTTACATCTTTTGGGATGCCTTTGGGCAAAGTCTTCAAACCTTTGTTACTGCAACGAACAACAGTGTCTAGGCAGGTACATTCTGCAGGACAGCGGGAGAGTGGAGAGCAACTGTTCTCATCATTTCCTGGTTAATGAAAAGAGGCCATAACTGTAAACCTTGCTTAATGAAGAGCACTTAACTCACTTATCAGCAGCACGAAGTTTAATTCTCTTTCAGATATCTATGAATGTTCTGCTCACAAGTAATATTGGAAACAGCAAATAAAAGTTTGAAGCACTACACATGTGTTTTCAAAGACAAGCTTCCACTTCAGGTGTCTAAATTACTACCATTCACTTGATGTCACAGTTGCTGAAGAAATGGCATCACCTGAATGACCCAGGCTTACTGGCTAAAGGCATAACCTAGAGCGGAGGTTGTCAACCCCCGGTCTGTGGCCCAGTGGCAGTCCCCGACCGGTACCTGACCGGGCTGCAAAGACAGACCTCTCACCACCACGCACACGCTCACCCCCACAAAAGCTGTTTGCGCTTGCGTGTGCTCTCATACACATGTGTGAATGGTGGTGCGGCACTTGTGCGAATATGCATGCTCTCATGCACATGCGCAAATGGTGGCACTGCCGTTCATGCATACACATGAGCGCACATGCACACACAAGCGCTGTGCCACTGTTCATGCATGTGCATGAGCGTGGGGGGTGCCCCAACTTCCCCAGCTGGTCCGCAGACTGAAAAAGGTTGGGGACCGCTGACCTAGAGTACTGCTAGTCACTTTAAACAACCACCACCACCTTTCACAAACTACCTCTCATTTAAAACTACTTTTAAATGCCACTTCATTATAAACGGCATTTGCAATGTAATATTGAAACATATATTTGACATTATGTAGGCATCCTTCAGTCTTTTGAGATTATAGTAACCTGCTCTGAATAGAGGTCTTGTAACAGTGTCTAGTGTGGCTGTGAAAGCCAATTGCAGTGACAATCTCTTCCACACTGAAGACAAATACAACCTGTCCCCTGTCTAGCTCCCTGATTTTGCTGGTTTCGGGACTGCCTCTTTGCCTCTGCCTGCTGAACGAGTGTCTCTTAAAATTGGGAGAGGCCATGATGCACTGCCTGCCTCCAGGCTGAACGCTCAGATGTCAAAGTTTTCCATCTGTTGAGGTCCATTCCTAAGGCCTTCAGATCCTGCTTGCAGATATCCTTGTATTGCAGCTGTGGTCTCCCTCTGGGGAGCTTTCCATGCACTAATTCTCCATACAGGAGATCTTTTGGAATTTGACCGTCAGCCATTTTCACCTTATGCCTGACCCAACGTAGATGTTGCTGTTTCAGTAATGTATACATATTAACAATTCCAACTCATTCTAGGACTACTCTATTTAGAACTATGTCCTGCCAAGCAATAACAAAAATGCATCAGAGACAACACTTAAGGAACATGTTCAATGTCCTCTCCTGCCGTGCACAAAGGTCCAGGACTCACTGCAGTACAGGAGTGTACTCAGGACACAGTTTCTATAGACCTGGATCATGGTATATGCTGTCAGCTTCTTATTAAGCCATACTCTCTTTGTGAGTCTAGAGAACATTGTAACTGCTTTGCCAATGCATTTATCCAGATCGACATCTAGAGGGAGAGTGTCAGAGATTGTTGAAGCAATGCACACGAAATCATGAACACCTTCAGTTCTTGTCTACAGATTGTAATAGAGGGAGGTGAGTTCACGCCCTAGCCCATGACTTATATTTCCTTCAGGCTCATTGTTAATCTGAAGTATTAGCAGGCCTTACTAAAACAATTTATAAGTTACTGGAGATCTTCAGCAGAATGGGCAACAACAGATGCATCATCAGCAAAGAGGAACACCAGCATGCATTTTAGCTGGACTTTGGTCTTTGCTCTCAATCTAGAGAGATTAAAGAGTTTTCCATCTGATCCAGTATGAAGATACGTAGACACCTTCTGTTACAGTTCCAAAAGTGTGCTTCAGCATGATAGCAAAAAAGATCCCAAACAAGGTTGGTGTGAGGACACAGCCGTGTTTCACTCCACTTCGGATGTCAAAGGGATCTGATGTTGAGCCATCAAAAACTACAGTGCCCTTCATTTCCTCATGAAAGGACCTGATGATGTTAAGGAGTCAAGGTGGACATCCAACCTTGGGTAGTATTTTAAAAAGGCCATCCCTGCTAACCAAATCAAAGGCCTTTGTAAGATCTATGAAGGCCACAAAGAGTAGCTGTCGTTCCCTGCATTTCTGCTGAGGGAAAATACCATGTCAGTGGTAGATCTATTAGGTCGGAATCCACACTGTGATTATGGATAGACTCTGTCTGCAAGCACCTGTAGTCTCTTCAGCACAACACGGGCCAGCAGCTTCCCTACAACACTGAAAAGACAGATGCCACAGTAATTATTGCAGTCGCCCCTGTCACCTTTGTTCCTATACAATGTGACAATGTTTGCCTCCTTCATGTCCTGTGGTACCCCACTTTCTCTCCAGCAAAGACAAAAAATTTCATACAACTCAGTGGTGATGATTTGTTTATAGCACTACAGCACTTTAACAGGGATATTATCCTTCTCAGGTACCTTGCTAGAGATGAGGGAATCCTAGGCCACTTTTATTTCTGCTAAACTTGGTTTGCTTTCCAACTCTTCCAAGAGACGCAGGCAATCGATGTTATTTAATGCCTGTTTGGTTACTGCATTTTCTCTGGAACATAACTCAGAATAGAGCTGCACCAAGCGTTCAATCTGCTGTGCTCAATCCTGGATGATCACACCTGTAGCAGACTTCAAAGGAGCAGATTTCTTCTGTATTGAACCTAAAGCCTGCTTGATACCATCATACATTCCCTTGATGTTACCTGTGTCTGCTGCTATCTGTATCTGAGAGTAGAGCTGAAACCAATAATCATTACAACATCTCCTGGCAGCTGTTGGACTTTGCTATGAGCAACTTGAAGAGCCTGCAAGTTGTACTCACTAGGACAGGCTTTGTATGCTGCTAGAGATCTCCTCTTTTCCTCGATGGCTGGCATCATCTCCTCCAAATGGGCTTTGAACCAGAATGCCCCCTTTTTTGTCTTCTTGTCAAATGTGGGCAAGATGATGTTATAAACAACATTCTTTAAATGTTCCCATCATTCAGGTGCATTTGTATCAGCCGAGCCTGGAAAGGTTTCCTCAAGCACTTGGGCAAATTCCTCCACTTTTCTTTGATTGTGAGTCTTGCTCAAGTCAATATGTGGTCTTCCTTGTAAGAGTCCGCCACTGTCAAAGAACTACATTAAAAAAGACAATGTGATGGACAGAGGGGAGGATGGGCAGGATGTGTGGATTCACAGAGGACCACTAGATGAACCATGGTTACAGGTAGGTAACCTCTCTTCTTCATGGCCTCTGTGAATGCAAACAATTGGGTGACTGACAAGCTCACTTACCGGATGGTGGGATGTCACAGTAAAACTGCCAATACAGCTTTGTCAAAACAGCATCATTTTTGCCCAGACATCAATACGGTAATGTCTCATGGAAGTTGATGAAGTAGACCACGTAGGTGACGGCAGATGTGAGGAAGATATATTCCCCGCTGGAAGGCAGTAGAAGTTGACAGCACTCTGGTGGAATGAGCCTCAAAGTGTTCAGGCTGTGTTTTGCCTGCTAGCTTGTGGGCCAATGAAATGGTTTGAACAATCCAGCAAGAGATAGTTTGAGATGAAGCTGGAGCACCCTTATGGGGGCCATGAAAACATAGAAAACGTCTTGGTGATTTAGTCCTATCAATGTAGAAGGTCAAGGAGCATCTTACATCAGGCATGTGGAGCATGTGCTCAATAGGTGTAGAAGGAGACAGAAAGTAGGTAGAATTAATGGCTGATTAAGGTGGAATTCAGAGAAAATTTTAGGTAAAAATGATGCATCAAAATAAAGGATGACCTTATCCAGATGGAATTGAAGGAAGAGTGGATCTGATCTGAGGGCTGCAAGTTTGCTAGCACACTTAGCAGATGTTATTGCTACAAGGAAGGATGTTTTCAGAGAAAGTAATTTGAGATTGGAAGTAGCCATTGGTTCAAAGGGTGGTCTAGTGAGTACCTTGAGGACAAGTGTAAAGACCACTGAGGAAGAGAATGTTGCCATGGGGGGTGTGAATATTTTGGAGTCCCTTGAGGAATTTCTTCAAAGTTGGGTGGGAAAAAAATCTAGCCAAACCAGAATGAGAAGGTTGGTGAGCTACAATAGCTGAAATGTAAACCTTCTAGGTAGAATGGGACAACCTGAGATGAAATAGATGAAGGATAAAGGTAAGTAAGGTCTTGCAGGTACCGTATTTTTTGCTCCATAAGACACAGTCCCCCCCCCCAAAAAAAAGTAGGGGGAAGTATGCGTGTCTTATGGAGTGAATACTGTTAAAAAGAAAAAAAGTAGGGGGGAAGTATGTGTGTCTTATGGAGTGAATACTGTTAAAAAGGTTTCAGCCACCACCACCCAGAAGCTTCCCACCACCATGCTGAGAGGCCTCTGAACCAGCACCAGAGGCTGCTTGCCGTGGCAGACTCATTGGACCGCACCACTTTGCCATCTGCGCTGCTGGCTTTCCAGGATCTGGAGCCCACCTGGAAAGCCAGTAGGGCCAACAGGCCTATGGCAGCAAATTTAATGGCAGAGAGTGGTGAAAACAGCCAAGGACTGAAGTGGAAAGACTGATTCTAGAAAGACCAGGTGAAAACACAAACACAGTCCCCCACTACCACAAATTATGCAGTTGATTTTCCCACATTTGGGGAAATCACAGGGATCAGCACACCCAAAGTGCAATGAATGTGCCTCACCCTGGGAAAACCACTTTCATGATCATGGTATCTCACCTGCCAGGTTAGTATAAGTTGGAGTGGCCCCTGCACCTCCTGCCCCCTGCCCCCCAAGGCATGATGCCCTCCCCCGGTTGCAGCTCCTGCCCAGAACAGGGGTGCACAGCCCCAGTCCTGCCAGAGGCCAAGAGAGCTCCTCAGTGCTTTGGGATGCCCTGTGGGACCCCCATCAGGGGCCAGGTGTTCCTCCCACAATCCTCCAGTGCACAGATATTAGCATACCTAATGTGCGGGG